AAAAAAATAAATAAATAAAAAAAAAAATAAACACATCATGGTAAAATTAATACCTTCTCAGCTTCGCATCGAAGCTAAAAACACATCATAATAAAACCAATACCTTCTCAGCTTCGCATCGAAGCTAAAAATTGAAAAAATGTCGAAAATTAGCGATTTTTAAATTTATAATTTTTTGTAGGATTTCTCCCGTTTACAGGGAACGAGAGAATTTTTTCAATTTTGAGAGTAATGTCTTTGACTAGATACGATTTGGGATCTTTTGACGTATTGTTCATCAAAATTGGTCCACCGAAAGCTGCGATTGAGCGTTCACAGACAAAAAAAAAAAAAAATAATAAAAAAAAAACACATTATAGTAAAATTAATACCTTCTCAGCTTCGCATTGAAGTTAAAATATGTATAGGACATAAATAGACTCTTAAATTAACTTTTGGCTTTTATTACATATTACAGATTTCATATCTTGAAATTGAAATAATAAGCTTATTTAAATAACACTTTATTTTAAATTTTTTTTCATTATCACTAAAAATCGTATGTATATAAACATTTTAATAAGTTTATTTTATAAAAATATGTTGCCATAAATTATACAATTCACAAATTATTTTTTGTAATTTACAATGGATCCCAGAGACCTGGAGGAGTATTAGCAACATGTTGATGTTTCACTGATCGATGTCTTGAAAATTGATTCATTGCATTTTTAGCTTCATCTGGATTATCATTGACATCTTCATAGAACTTTCTACATTCTTCACAGTCCCAACCATTTAATTGTTTACGTTCATTTTGTTTTCTTACTGGGTTTTCTTTAAATTTATAATTTGGAAGAACTTCTGGTTTATTATTTAAACCAGGTATAATATCAAAACTATCAAACAAATTATTTTCAGGTGGCTTATTGAGGCACCCATTACAATTAGTATCATCTAATTTATCAATAGTAACATTAATTGGACTAAAAATAGTTTCATCAGAAGAATCATTACTTTCATCTTGATGAGTACCAGTATTAATCATTGAATATTTAAAAACATCTATAATTACTGGAGAACCAATGTCTTTTGTAATAGAAGTATTATTTATTGGTTTATTTAGCCTATTAAAATGGCTAATAGAACAATTAATAGAGTCGCTGATAGTTTCAACTAAACAATCATCTTCATTACAGTTATCTCCTTTGGCCAAAAGATTTTTTTCTTCCATCAAATTACTAGTAGCCATATTTTGTTCATTAAGTTTTATTTCAGCAGTTGTTTTAATAGGACTTAAAATAATGTCATTACTGTAAGATGATATATTATTACACAAACTATTCTGAATTTTAATATCTAATTTTGTTTTAGATACTAATGGCTTAACTTGTAAAGTGGCTTGTTTAGATTTCTTTAATAAATTTGAAGGGTTACCATTACGATCAATACTTAATTTCCAGGTGGTTTTGGTATTGTCTGAAGTGTTACTATTATTCTTGGTATTTTTTAATACTTCACTATCATCTTTGATAGATAACTTCAAGGGTGAGTAACATAAATTAAGTTTACGTTTTTTACTATTGTGACTATTTTTTTTCGTTGTGATAATCAAACGAGTTAATATATTAAATACAGATTCATTTTCAAACGAAGTTATATCAGATAAAATGGCTAGTTCTTTGATACTTTCTTCAATTTTATCAAGTTGAGATGTTAGACTAAAATAATTTTTTTTTAGTTTTTGATTTTCTGTTCTTAAAGTAATTATTTCATTATTCAAAGACTCATTATTTAAGGATAATTTATTAATGAATTTTGCAGCATTTTGACAAGCTATAGATAAGGATTCTACTAGTTGTTTACCATTATTCTCTTGACTGTTCATAATTATTTTAAACCAAAAATTAAAAAAATATAAATTTTTTATAATTAAATTTCTGTTGCTTGAAGTTACTAATAAAAAGTAAATTTTATATAAAAGTTTAAATTGAGACAATTCTTTCACTAAAATTTATACATCAATTATTTTGAATTACAATTAAAGAAATATTAATTAAATCGAATTTTTGAAAAATTGTTATCATAATAAACACTGTTAACATATATAAGACCTTTATCAACTTTTACAGAACAACCAACTTAATAGGAAAATTAGAAATACTGTTAATTCAAATAAAACCTTAAAATGTTAAATTGAAATTAAAATATTAAAATATCCTTAAATCAATGCATATCATAATTAATTAAAACTATTAGTTTTTAATATTTGTTCGGGTAATTATAATTTATTTAGTTTATAAAGTTGGTGAGCATGAAAGACATGAATGATGTTTGTGGTTGGTAGTAAAATTTCTGTTTATTTTTTCTGATTTGCTATTGACTTGACTTAGAAGTTTGATTTTGTCGGTGTTTATATCTTGAAAATTTATGGCGATAAAATTTTGATTTTACACTCCATAAATAAAAAAAAATTACCTTAAACAGCTTTAAGATAAATAAATTTTAACTCTGTTGGGCGTTTAATGGCTTTTGATGGAGATGGCGGACGATTTACAAGTACTTTTTAAATTTGTGTTCTTATACTTTTAAATTAATGTCCTTTGATTATAAGTTTTGGTTTAATTAATTAGAATTATTATACATATCGTATTTTTCTTTTTAATTTATTATTGCTTGTTTTATTCATTAAATCGTTTATAGCATATAGGTTTATAATAAATTTTTAGTTATATAAATTAAAAATATCACAAAAATTGATTATAAATTAGATTTTATAAATATTTAAAAAATACAATCAATCTACTTTAGATTGTAAAAAATTATGTTAAATACAAATTTGTTGATTTTATTTGTTAAAATTGGTTATTTTTAATAGTACTTTGATAATTGTATTACATCAGTTATATTAGTAGAACGTTTGATTATTGAATGTGATGCTATTGTTAAAAAAAATGTATTTTGTATTTTTTTCAATTTATTATGTTCAAATAGTTCAATTAATTATATATTAAAATAATATTTTTTAATTTAATATAGTTGAACTTTTATATTTTACATAATTAGTTACATGAGACCTATGCTTATTGCAAAAAGAACCAATAGCAAAAATAAAAAAAATTTTAAATTATCTTTCTAAAAAAATAATTTAAGTGACGATATAGTTTGATTTTCTTATAAAATTATGATAAATTTGTCTTCTAAAAGAAACTTGGACTATGGTACCAGTATATATATATAGTGATTTTGCAATTATTATTTAAAAATTGAAAAATAATGTCAAAAATTTTGACATTGAACATTTATTAGCATTAACTTGTTTCAAATATTTAAATAATAAAAAATTCAATTTTGTTTTTGAAGAGTATTCCTCGACTAGAAATGCTATGCAAACAAATGTATGAGTCAAGTAATCCAAATTTATGTGTGGAAGCCGAAAAAGCTTTGGTTTCTTTTCAAAATAGTAATACTCCTGATACTTTATCAAAATGCCAAATGTTATTAGAAAGAGCTGATTCACACTATTCAGAGTTATTGGCTACCACAACAATAACTAAACTTATATCCCGTACACCATTAACATTGAACCTTGATCAAAGAATACAAATAAGTAATTAAAATACAACTATTCTTATGTAATAGTTTAAAACAAATATATTTATTTTTTAGGAAACTATATTTTGAATTATTTAGCTACCCGCCCTAAGTTACCTTCATTTGTTGTTCAAGCCTTAGTTTTATTATTTGCTAAAATAACAAAACAAGGATGGTTTGATGGAGAAAAAGATTCCTATGCTTTCAGAAACGTTGTATCTGATATTTCAGTATTTTTGCAGGTATTACATTATGGTTGAAATTCTTGTTTGAATTTAACTGCACTGTGATTTTTATTATTATACTGAATATTTTATAAGTTGAATATAATTACACTTGAATTTTATTTTAAAAAAATATTAGGGGATGAATGTTGAACATTGTATGATAGGAGTTCAGCTTTTATCTCAGTTAACAACTGAAATGAATACAGTTGCTGATGTTGAATCACATAGAGCTGTACTGAAGCATCGGAAAGTAGCTTCATCATTTAGAGATACACAATTATTTGAAATATTTAGAATGTCTTGTCAAATGTTACGTAGTGCTAATGATAATAGAAAAAACTTAAACTTTACAGATGAAACACAGGTATAATTTTTGACAAATAAGAAATTTTTTATTGTTGAATTTTTATTATTTTTTCTAGCATGGATTTATGTCTCGTTGTCTTCAATTAGCACAAAACTGTTTAACATATGATTTTATTGGAACAACATGTGATGAGTCATCAGATGATATTTGTACAGTTCAAATTCCTACTGGGTGGAGACCAGCTTTTCTCGAACAATCAACTTTGACTTTATTTTTTGATCTCTATCACTCTTTGCCTCATAGTCTTTCCAGTTTGGTAAGATAAATTTATTGAAATAAAATATAATGTAATGTATTCTATATCTATATTTTTTAGGCTTTATCATGTTTAGTACAATTAGCTTCAGTTCGACGTTCCTTGTTTAGTACAACAGAAAGAGCAAAATTCTTATCACATTTAGTTAATGGAGTCAAAGATATTCTGCTAAATCCTCAGGTATACTCTAAAAATTATAAATTTAGTTTAATTAATTTACCTTAATTATTTTGATAATAATTATGTGAATAAAAATGTTTAATAAAATGAATAACTAAGAATTTAGTAAAATATCTATGTTTTATCATTCAAAAAAGTTGTTGAATAATTAATTTAACATTTTTGTAAAAAGAAAAAAATTAATTGGTTTGTTTTAATTTTTTTAATGTGTAAATATTTTTAAAATTTAACAATATTATCTTGTTTGTTTTAAATTGTGTAAGTTTACGTTAATAGCAAAATTAATTAATTTATTTATTTTTAAATTAACATTATAAATTATTGATTAAGTAACTAAAAATTAAATAGTAACTTTTTTAGGGATTGGCTGATTCAAATAACTATCACGAGTTTTGTAGACTATTGGCTAGGTTAAAATCAAATTACCAACTTGGAGAACTTGTAATGGTTGAAAGTTATCAAGAGACTGTAGGACTTATTGCAAAATTTACTGTTGAAAGTTTACAAGTATGATTATTATTATGCATATAATTATAAGATATGATCTGATATTTTTCCTTTATTCACACAATGAATTTTACTTTAATAGAAACCATTTCTGTAATAAATAAATAAATAAATTATTAATCAATTTTTAAAAAAAGACAATAACATTATGTTTTCTTGTAGTTTGTTAATAAATTATTTTTTAACCAGGTTTATCAATGTGCCCCAAACAGTTTTCATTATTTGTTAAGTTTTTGGCAAAGAATGGTAGCTTCTGTACCTTATGTAAAAGCTGCAGAACCTCATTTATTGGAAACATATACTCCTGAAGTTACTAAGGCATACATTACTTCTAGAATAGAAAGTGTTACACTTATAGTGAGAGATGGTCTTGATGATCCATTAGATGATTTTACAAATGTGCAACAACAACTTGAACAATTATCTGTAATTGGAAGGTGTCATTACCAAAAAACATGCTCACTAATTGCCCAATTATTTGACCAATCAGCTACTACTTATCAAGAAATTATTGCATCACCATCTGCATCAATTTATGATTTAAAAATTCAAGAAGGTACTAATAAGCATAATTAATGATTATTATTTTTTGTAACATAAATATATTATGTGAATTATGCATGTCACTCCTCTGAAAAACAGAAAAGTCAGATTAAATTTTTGTATTTAAAATTGTTTTAATCAAAAACAGGTATAAAAAATTGTTTTTTTAAAAAAACTACCAAGTCTTAAAACTTAAATTTTCAAGTAAAATGATAATTTAAAAATGATGCACTTATTAAAATAATAATAAATTATTCTTTAGTCTAAATTAAATTATTTTAGTCTATTAATATATCTTTTAAATTGTAATAAAATCACTTAAACATGGTTTATGAAATTAAAAATTGCTATATACTGAAAAGTTTTGAATAAAACTATCTTTTCTATTTCATTCTAAATGGAAATTGTAACTGTATGATAAATTTAACTATACATTAATTTTATTTAGTAATAATTTATACTTGAATTAAAGAATCTTCTTACATATGTGTTATATAGGTCGATTGACTTGGCTTGTATATTTAATCGGAGCTGCTATTGGTGGTCGTGTAACATTTAATAGTAATGATGATGGAGATGCAATGGATGGTGAAATGGCATGCAAAGTTTTACAACTTATGACATTCAGTGATTCAAGACTCCCCCAAGGAGGTTATGAAAAATTGGAACACTCATTTTTATTTTTCTTTGAGCAATTTAGAAAAATTTATATTGGTGACCAAGTAAAAACTTTAACATGGCTTGTAATTTAATTATTTACTATAACTTGGTCTGTTAAAAGGTACCAAAAAATTCCAAAGTTTACCGACGGCTCCATGATGTTTTGGGAATTAGTGAAGAACATATGGTTCTTAGTATTTTTATGAGAAAAATGTTAGAATGAATAATAATATACAACAATAATAATAAGAATATTAACTTAACCAATTTTACTTTTTTTCAGTATAACTAATTTAAAATTTTGGTGCTCAAGTAATACAGTAATTCAAAAAACTTTGGCGTTATTGAATGATTTATCAGTCGGATTCTCTAGTGTTAGAAAATTGGTAAAACTTGATGAAATTCAGTTCCTATTAAATAATCATACAGTAAATAAAATTATTTAGTACCATAAATTATTTTGTAGTTTCACAATTTAATTTTTTTAATAGAGTGAACATTTTCCTCTGTTGGGCAATACATTTAGTGTTAAAGATATGAGACACCGTTCATCTTTTTATACTTCATTGGGAAGACTATTGATGATTGATCTCCTTGAAGATGAAGATAAATTTGATAATTTTATGATCCCTTTAACTGGTATGTGTAAAAAAAAAAAGAGTAAGAATAAAATATTTTAATTATAAAATATTGTTTTGTTTGTATATTTAGCTTCTGTAGAATCAATTGGTGCTTTATTAGCTACTGTCAATGGCGTGAATGAAAATTCTGTATTCTCAAATATTGAAGCGAAAAAAGCCCTTATTGGTCTTATTAGAGATCTTAGAGGATTAGCTTTTTCTTTCAATACTAAGACTTCATTTATGCTTCTTTTTGAATGGCTGTATCCTTTTACAAATAAAAATAGTTTTTCTTAAACCATTAACTTTTATAGTTTAATGTACTAAGTAAGTAGATCTCATAAATATTACTATAGGCTGTTTTTTGATATAATCAGTAAATCAAGCTTTTTAAAAGTAAATAACTGACTAATAATAAAAAAAAAAGACTTATCATATGAGTGTTATTTTTCAATTAATTAAATTTCAATTAATTTTAAGTATTGTTGGTTTAATTGCTTGTATTTAAAATTCTATATTGTTTTTTTTTTGTAATTTATTATTTTCCAAAATAATGTACTTATCTAAAAGTATTATTATGTAGAAATTTAATAATTTTCTTAGATGTAATATATTAAAACTCAGATATATTTTATTAATTGATGAAATACTATAATAAAATTTTTAACAATATTTATATGGTTTTTCAAAGATATTGCTGTTAATGATAATTTTTAAGGAAAATTTTTATACTATTTATCAGAATTGAATCAAAAATATTTCTTTTTATTTCTATGTTATAAGTTTTAAATTATTTAACACTTTTATTTCGATGTGAAACTGAGAAAGTATAATTTTTAATATTATGTGTTTTTTTTTTTTTTATGTCTGTTGCTACTTTTTTTCGGTTCTCATTGGATCGATTTATTTGATGATAGGTTGAAAAATAACAAATTGTATCTAGTTGAAGACATTTCAAATATCTTAAAATAATAGGATATTAATTTATCCCATTTTACTTAAATAGTAATATTATAGAATAATTATTATAGGAAAATAAAAACATATTTGTCATATTAAATTGTATTACATAATATTTAAATTCATTTAATGTTTAACTTATATTTTTATTAATGTTTTTTTAGTAAAATTCTAATATGATTTTTTTTTATTTTATGATAATACATAAAAATTTAATATTTTAATATTAATTATTTTATAGCATATTAAGTTTTATTATTATTATGTCATAAAAAATTTTTCAAAAACTGTTGCCATGTCAAGAATTTCAGTAAATTAAATCCTTAACATTTTACTACTTAGTTATCCATCATACACTCCAATTTTATTACGAGCAATGGAATTATGGTATGCTGATCCAGAAATTACTACACCTTTACTTAAGTTGTATGCTGAACTCGCTTTGAATCGCTCTCAACGACTTCAAGTAGATGTATCATCACCTAATGGAATTTTACTGTTCCGAGAAGCTAGTAAAGTTGTTTGTACTTACGGTTAGTATACATCCAGATATTTATAATTTATTTTCTTTATTAAAATAAATATTTAAACTCAATTCATTTTTCAGGAAACAATATATTAAACCTTGATGTTCAACAAGATGTGCTTTATAAAAAAAAACTGAAAGGCATATCAATATGTTTCTCGATGTTAAAAGCAGCATTGTGTGGTAACTATGTTAATTTTGGTGTCTTCAAACTATATGGTGATGACACATTAGAAAATGCACTTAATATTTTTGTCAAATTATTGCTGTCCATACCTCTGACTGATTTAATGGTGAGTCTAAAAATTAAATTTTTAATATTTTATTTACAGGATAAATATGATCGGTTTATCATAAACATAGATATTATATTAGTGATAAAAATAGCAGTACCCACTCTTCACCTCCAGTCATCACTTTAAGTTGTTAATAACTTCTGAAATACTGGTCAAAAAGTTGTTATGAACCAATCATTTTTTTAATTGACTTAATTCTTATTTTATAATTTAGTGAAATGTATGTTAGCATTTAAAAAAATAAAGATGACGTCCTTTTAAGTTATAAGTTATAAGCTAGTAAAGGAACTATTCTAAAAAATAATTATTAGCTGATAAATCAAGAATTGTTTTTCCAATGTTGAATTTATTTTGCAAGTAATCAAGTGATTTTTAATAAACCGATATCACTATGAATAAAATAAATATTTAAATAAGTAAATTGAAAAAATTACATTAGTACAAAATATGTTAAATTTAGCCCAGTGATATTTTGAGAGCTATGTTATCATTTTAGGGCTCTTTGGTATTTGTTTTCATAAAATTTCCTTAAATTATATCATAATTTTTCATAAAAATAACTATAATATTATTAATTTGTATTAAGGTCAATTTTTTTTTTTACATTTATTTTTGTCTGCAAATACAAAATGTTTATGAATGGTGTGACAAATTTGCTACTGTAGATCACGAAAATATTATATTGTCAGTCTAAATCACAAAAACAGTCTGTCCAAAATGATGTCATTTTCAGGAAAACTAAAAGCTTTCAAAAATATAATTAAAATTAATATTGTGAATATTTTTTTTATCAATTTCATTGAAATTTCATCAAAAAATTTTTATGATATATATATATCATAAATTTTATCATACAAAGCTTTTTTTTTCAATTACAATAGATATTAAATAAGTTAAGATGAGGTTATGTCTATTATGATTAGAACCAAAAATTTGTTTAATGATATTTAAAATTCAATTTTTATTTATTATATAATTTTTTTTAACAATAATTTTTAAACAGTTGAAAAATTTTGATTTGCAGCTAAATAAATTAAAATAATCATTTAATTTTTAGCATTATCCAAAACTTTCTCAAACGTATTATGGTCTCCTAGAATGTTTAGCTCAAGATCATATGGAGTTTTTATCCACTCTTGAACCTCAAGTATTTTTATATATATTATCTTCTATATCAGAAGGACTAAATGCATTAGGTAAGTTTATATATTGTTTAAAAGTAGTCATTTAATTCAATAATTAAGTTTTATTTTTGCTTCAGATATGTCTATTTGCACTGGATGTTGTACTACTCTAGATCATATTGTTACTTATGTTTTTAAACAATTATTATTAAAAGGTAAATCCTTATGTTACACATTTCTAATTATTATTTTGGTAACCAATTTATACTTATATAAATTTTATATTTTGAAAGTATAATTTCATATGAAATTATTTTTTAACTTAATTTATTTATTCTCACATAATATTTTAAGGCAAAAAAGTACAAAGAAGACGTATACAACAAGTGAATGAAATTTTCCTACGTACTTTAGAAACCCATTTAGGAGTATTTAGACAAATCTTACAAACTGTGCTAAATATAATTATATTTGAAGAATGTAGAAATCAATGGTCTATGTCTAGACCACTTTTAGGTCTTATACTTCTTAATGAAGAGGTGAATCAATCAATTTATAATAATAATAGTTATTATTTATTAACTAAAAATATTTGCTTTCAGTACTTCAATCAATTAAGAGATATGATATTACAAAGTCAGCCAATTGATAAACAACCAGCTATGGCTCAGTGGTTTGAAATGTTAATGGAAGGTGTTGAAAGAAATTTAGCTAGTAGAAATCGTGAAAGGTAATGGTGTTACTTAAAAGAATATCTTTTACTAAATCATATGTAAATATATATTTTTTTATTAATTTTATAGGTTTACTCAAAATTTATCATCATTCAAAAAAGAGTTAACTGAAAAAGGTCCAACAATGTCCATGAATTCTGTAAATAATGAAGTAATGATAACAACATAGTACTATACATAGTAAATAAATTTAAAAAAAAAATAAATATATATTACTTAAATTAAATTAATTTTATTGTTTTATTCGCCAGTGTTTATCTTTTATACAAATAATACCTATTGGTCGTGTTATTTTATTTATTATGATAATTATTAATAACGTATTGTCTTATTGTAAACATTGTAAATATTGGTATTATTTAGAAAATAGGGCCTACATCCTAGTCATAGGCTATTATTTGGTATTGTGTTAGTTGTGTTTCAGTTTTGTTACATAATAATTATACATTTTTTAAATATATTAGCAGTTTTTAAATAATGTAAATAAACTTTTTACTAAAAAATCAGTTCTGGAGTGTATATAATTTAAAGCTGTTCCCAGTAAAATCAAGGGACCAACTATAGATAAAATGACCTAATTTAAGATGGTATTCGTTTTATATTATGAATTTATAAATGGGAATTAGATAAGATAATTTTTAATAGACAACATAGACTTTGTCATACTTGAAAGTTCATTTAAAACATAGTAAAAATGAATATAATATACTTGGTTCTATATATATGTATTAGAATTTGGATATAATTTATTTTTATAATATTATTGTTGAAGTGGTTTCAGATATAAGTTATAACCATAATGATTTTTTTCTATATGGACTGTCAAATGGCCTATTTAAGAGTAATGTTTTTGATATCCTAAACATACATTGTTTGAGGACTCGTGTATATTTAAATGTATATATATATTAATGTGAGCCCTATATTTCATATTTATAATGTTTATGAAACTGTTTTTAATTATAAGATAATTTTTCTCTCTTAATAAAACCTGTTAAAACTTTTAAAATTGTTTTAATAACATTAAATACAAATTATAGTAGTTTCAAAAAAGAAATAAATATTAACAATAAAACTATTGAGAGTTATGATATAGATTTCTATATAATAATTAGTAATTGTTAATTATCTTATAAATAAGCTATGCCAGAAAAAATCAAGTAAAATTTGAGAATAGAAACAAAGTTCAATTCAAAATCTATGCAAAAATTGTCAACAGTAAAATGCTAGTTGATCCGTGTAAAACATAATTAGTAAATAAATAAAAACTATTAAAAAAAATATAAGTTATAATAGACAAGGCATAATATAAAGTGTCAATATTACCATTGAGTTATATAATGAAAGTAATATTCTAATAATAGCTTTTTAAAAATAATATTCCATAGTATAAAATTTTAAATATAAGGTACAATTATAAATTCGAATTTTGATCAAAGAAATGATGGTAATAAAATTTAATTAAATTATCACAGTTTCCTTTATGTAAAACTTTAAAAAGTTTTAAGTATTACAAATTAATTAAAAGTTAAATAAAAAAAAATTATAAATGTATAGTGTGTTTACTAGATAAATTAAATTATTAAAAATTAAACTTTTGTTTCTGTATGCTGAGAAAGAGCTACTTCTCGAAGATTATCACTGGTGATATCTACGATACGTGGTCCTTGTCTATATCGATTGTTATACTCATTTGTATCAATACATCGAGCTTGTATATGCCTTCTATCTATTTCATAAAGTAATGCTGATCTGTAATATATAATTACATACATTTATTAGAAGTTAATAATTTCTGAAATTTATTTCTATGTCTATTATTTTATTCTATATATGCAAACAGAGACTGACTAAGGGATAATCATGTTGTGACACAATACTGAAAATACTTTTTCAGTATTGTGCTGTAAAAATTTTTTTTTTTAATATCTACTTTTCTCAGCTCTCATTTGACCTTCTTTTTTGACAAATTTTTTTTTTTAAATTAAACACTATCTACAGATTTGCATCGAAGCGTTTTTTATGATAGTGATTTTAATCACTGTCAGATATCATCTATACTAGACCCAACTATGCCACGACCCCACTATGCTGGGTTTTTTAGTTATAATAGTTTAAAACAAATTTATTAAATTAAAATATTTTTTTCTGTATTATACTCACATTTCCATTCGTGTTTTTTTTATTGTTAAATTATAACCTAACTTTAATTTCCAAATGTAAAATATATTTGAAAGTTATAATTTTTTGTACAGTTCCCTTTATTATTAGGATTTAAGAGAATTTGTTAAAATTATGGCGCTGATAGCTTCAACTATTTACATTTTATGATCTTTTGATTTTTGTTGAGCAAAATCAGTTGTGTAGAAAAGGAGTAATCGTGTCCAGTGACACCAAAAAAAAAAAAAAAAACTAGCACAATGGGGACATGGCATATATTGAATAAGTATAGGTGATATCTGACAGTAATCAACATTACTATCATAAAAAAATCTTCAAAGCGAATTTTTTTAATTTCTGTTTGGGAATGATGAATTACACAAGTATTAAGCTTTTATTTGATCTAGGTATGAAAAATGTAGACATTCTTGAAAATTTTTAAAATTCAATAATTTTTGTTTTAGCAAAAATTACAAATTTTTTTGCTTTGTCTGTCAATTTTTCATAGTAGAAATTAAAAAGGGAATTCTTTTTTTTAATAATATAGGTCAATTTATAAGATTTAATGTGGTAGATTTTATAAATATAGATAAATATAAATATTTTATCTATAGATTTTAAATATGCAGATAATCCAGAACATTACTAAAAATTGAAATGAAAAAAAAAAAATGTTTGACATAGTCAGGCCAAATTTTATTTATAAAAACAATAGATTAGGTTATTTTTTTTTATTTATAATAAGTATTAAAAATTATATGTATATTTTATAAATATAAACAAACCTGTAGACTTCATATCTCATTACTATTTCCTCCAATTCTTGTTTATACAAACGGGTCAACATTGCATTAAAACAATCCAATTCAGGCAATCGAAACATTTCCCATCTTAATTTATGATCCAATGTTTGAGTAGCTTGAGAATACACACTTAACCAAACTGGTATTTCTAAAAGCAAAAATCACTCATACATAGAACATTTTTAAAAATTATTCCTTACCTTGGTTTAAATAAGGGTTGGCGGGTACAAGCATGCTATGTGGGTGAAAATTAGTAGGTCTTGGTGGAGGTGGAGGTGGTATTGGTAATGGAATTCTAACTTCAGGCTGATAAATATAATGTGGTGCACAAGGATGTTCATATTGTGCCTGTCGAGTTATATGACTAAAGAAATTTCAATGTTTAATACAACTAATTAATTAACTAGAACGATAACATACTTAACAAAATATACACCATAATCACTGCTTTCAATACGTTCCCATCCAGTAGGAAGACCTTCTTTTTCCAAAGGATGAGACCAATGTGTAGTTTTAGTATTATGATCTATATAATACTTACGACCCCTCAATGTTAAATCAATAGACCAACCAGGAGGTAATGGGAGTTCTTCTCCACCATCTAAGTATAAACATGAATATTAACTTAATAAATAATATGGTATAGTAGATAATATAATAATAATAATAGAATAATTTAAAATCTGTTTTAAATTACATTTCCAGAGTTAGAAGTAAATAGTATAAAAAAAAAGGTTAATTCCCTAAATTAAAAAAAAAAAATGATTAAAATGTATAATTTAACACACAGAAAATAGTAGGTTTAGATAATTGTTAATTTAAGATTTTTTCGCAGTATTAATTCAGCATACAATTTTACAACTGTGTTTAAAAATTTATCATGAAGTAGGAGAGTTTCTTGATCATTTTAAGAACTCGGAGCATTGGAGGCATAACCTCACCATACTAGTTGATGTGGAGGGGTTGGAGAACTCATTTATATTAGGCCTCCAATATTGAAACATATACTAGGGATTTTTCCAGGTAGAAGAATGGGACAGCCCGACACTACATAGTATAAAATTTATATTATTTAATAATAACATGTATTACTAATAGTTATTTTTTACTTGTTTTCATCATTACAATACTTTTATTATAATATTTTATCTAATATCAAATGTATAGCTCATTTTAGTGAAATTATTTTAAAAATAAATAAAAATTTTTGCTTACCTGAAGGCATTGGTAATGGGATAGAGTGTCCAACATTATGTAATGAAGGTGTAGAATGATGGGAACTCATTAATTGATTTTTAGATTGAAGCTGAATCTAAATGAATAATTGATCATTAGTTGATAAACAAAATGGTTAGTATTAAGAGTAAAAACTCAAAAATTTTACAAGATTAATTGTTTGATAAGTTATAAAATTACGTAGTTCAGTTGATACTGCAATATTAACATACATTAGGCAAATATCTTGATAAAGAGGGTGTATAAACAGTACTATCTCCAAATCTGTGCATAATTACTGATGGTACAGCTAAATCATTATGAGAATGGTATGGTAAGCAGCTAGCATTTGAATGTGTTCCCAGCTAAAAATATTAAAGTTTTTATTAGTAAACTACCCTTTTAATGATAAAGGTGATAGTACAAGTACTATTTATGAAATTTCAGTTAAATAGTTTGAATTTTATTTTTATTTTCATATTATATAAAACAAAAATCAAACATATATCAGACAAAGAACCTTTAATTTGTAAGCTCTCAATATAGCTATTATATAATTATTTATAAAATAATTTGTAATAAACATTAATAAAAAATTGTTTACTTGATGATTTATATGACAATTATTAGATAGATATTGATTGGAATAGTTCCTAGAACTTATAGATTGATCATTAGATATACCTGGAGTACTACTCCATAGATTAGCATTTGCAAACCTACATAATAGTTAAATATTCCATTAATATAAAAATAATTTGTCATTATTTTTGTAAGATAATAATTTTTACTTTTGAGCCAAATCAGGAACGGAGCTACTAGGAGTGTACTTGCCTTCATGGCCCAAAAGCATTGATGGAGATGGTGAGTTTTTTAAATTACCAAATTTTTGAGCTGATCCTCCTGGTTGATTAGTATTCTACAATAGAAACATTAATATTAATTTATATATTTTTACACACGATTAATATGATATCTCACATTTAAACTATTAATTTCTTGTAAATTGACTCGATTAGTACTTGTTTTTCTAAATGGTTCTGTAGACCATACATTGATAACTAATATAATACAAAATTTGTACAAATTATTCATATGCATATCGCTATGTGCAACAAATAAGGCAGTAACTTAAAAAAATAGATTTAGAGATCATAAAGTATTTACATTTAGATTTTACTCTTCTCATAATAACTTCTATAACAATATTGAGAATTTGGTTTGAATATAAATTAAACTACTTAAAAATCTGATAAATTTAGCGTGAAACTAGAGTAAATTTTGCTTTTGATTTCGTAAAAAGTGAGAAAAGTAAAGTCTTATTCGCTGTGCATATTGATGGTCAAATATTTTTAAAAACAAAGCTAACCCCTTTATATGTGTATTTTAAGAGGAAATGGGTCATGTGTCTCTACCTATTGACCAAGCAATACATATATAAAAATGTATATTGACCTTGTTTTTGCTCATAATAAATGAAAATGAGTAAGAGATTTTTATGTTAGATTGTCAATAGTAAATTTAATTGTGCCCTCCCCCATTATAAAAATTATGAAACATACTTCTGCATCCCCCTATGTTATTGATTATTTAACATTATGACTTTTAAAATGTAATGTATCACATTTAATTAAATTTTAACAAGTTTTTAAATGATATATAACAAGAAATGTTTAACTGATTGTTAATATTATTAACAAATAAATACTAATATTAATAATAATATGTCAATTAAGCTGTTCAAGTAAATAATAATTGTAATATTTAACTCTAAATAGAATAATCTACAAATTTGAAGAACAAAACAATCATTGATTTTACTATTTATCAATAATAAAAGTGTAAAGTATTAACTTGGAATTTCAGGAGGTTTATCTTTTTTCACATATTTTCCTACAACTCCATCTTTAATGGTCCGTGTCTCTTTATTTTTCCTCGATAACATATTAACTTCAATTCTAATGAAACTAAATAAAAATAATCCAGTCGTTATTTTATTTCATAATAATAACTACATAATTAAATATTACTTATATTTTCCTAAATAGATTAATAAATTTATAAAAAAATTAGCATATTATCCTACTTTAATGTAAAATAAGCAGCTAAAATTTTAAATCATTAATTTAAAGAAAATACCTATACATACAGCGAAAAATAAGCAATTTCAAAAATTCATATCAATAGCATCTCTTTAATACATCTACCAGCTGACTGTAGATTTGATAGCCTTCGAGAAACTAAGTAGAAACATTAAAGAACTAAGATAGCTGTTATCATATTACTTTATTACCTGTGCGATAACTACAGAAACTTCTTATGAACTCTGATACTTCTTAAAAAATACTGACTACACTCAGTATTTATTGACTTAAATTATAGTTAACGTTTAAGCACTTTAAAGAAAATAAATAGGAATACATTTTTATCATTCGCATATAACCACACCCGTGTTTACAACAATTTATTTATATTAGGTAGTATTTTAATAATCAAGTAAAAAAAATTAACTATTAAATCATGTAAAAAATTAAATATTCTAAAGTTTTTATGTGTTAACATAATTAATATTTTAGGTACGATTTAATTGTTTTGATTATACTTTTAAAAAAGGTAGGATTTATGATATAACCAAGTTTATATTACAATTTTTTATTAATACTCTAAACTAAATTACTTTAAATATGTACTTTTTAAATTTTTTAATGTAATAAAAGTTTCATCGTTGAGTATGATTTTCAACAATTTGTTGTAATTATAAATAATATAAATAGTATTTGAATTGGTATTTAATTTGTATATTATTTTTGAACATTAATATCCAAATTATTTTTCAATAATGTAGTTAAACATGTTTCAAATATCCTTTTCTGGTATGCAAATATATATATTTTTCAAGTAGTCAATATATATTTACCATACAATCACTAATTTATTGTTTATTTTACTCTAACTATATCCTCTAGTTGTTCATCCTCTTATTAGTTATATTATAGTAAAATTTAAGTAAAAGTATTTTTATTAATTTTATTTTATTTTAATTTAAAAAAATTAATTTTGCAAATTTTTATAATACATTGTGGATTATAAAAATTGATCAAGTAAAAAGTTAAGGAGGAAACTAACCTATATTTTCCCAATTCAATCGCCCATTTAAATGGGTTTAAAAAACAGATCAGTATAGCACATACTGGTAATTAATGTGAGTGAGTACTCACTCTATGTATTAATATGCTTTTGACTCATTATGTTCTTGTTCTGAAGTTTTTTTTTTAATTTTTTGTAAGTAAAGCTCTAAAAAACAGGTATTTTAAAATTTATTATTTTTATTATTAAAAATAATTAATAAAAATTTTGATTTAAGTATAGTCTAAAAATGCATAAATGATAAAATAAAATTACAGTATATTGTTTATTTTTTAAAAAAATGTCAGTTAGTTGCTTATTCTAAATATTATGTCAATAAATTTATCACCAATAGTTAACAAAATTGTTCCTCTATCTTAAAATTGTTGTGCTTCAAACATCAGTGTTCCACACTCCTAAAAATTAACTTTAAAACTTTCCTAAATTTATTAACTTTTACTTATTATGTTTATAACAAATGACAAAATTACTATAATAATGATTTATAAAAAAGTAAACAAAAGATTAAAACAAATATTATATTATTATTAGAAAATCTATTGTAGTATAACCTTAAAATGACTATATCTGTCATCAAATGTAGGCCAAAATATTTATGACAGACTTTTAAGGGGCCATCGAGATTTTCACGGTAGCTCGCTCATATTATCCAGGCCCCTGACTATAATAGATATTTTATTTATTTATCTTTATTATATTTTATCATGTGATTTTTTAATACTATAATAATCTAAAATTTACACCTTCCGAAAATCTGTAATTATATAACAAAACATTAAATATTTGTAATCTATTTCAGATATTACTATGGCTTTAGTAAATAAAACCGTCATAATAGTTGGAGCTGGTGTAGCTGGAATTGCAGCAGCGACTAAACTTCTCAAAAATAACGTACAAGATTTTATTATTTTAGAAGCAGAAAATCGCCTAGGAGGACGTATTCAGACGATTCCATTTGGAGGTAAAACATTTACATTTTAGCGCTGAAAGTATAGACCAATATATGGCGAATAGGCAATACATCGGAAAATGAAATGGTTAGAGAGAAAAGAGAGCGGTACGCCCAAACTATATTTTTCTCTCACATTCTGTATTAAAAGATAGCAATGTTGTCCAGACTATGTTTTCTCTATTTCAATATTTTCCTTGAGATTCATGGGCGTTATGGTAAGCACTGATAACTTTATAGGTCTATAGCTGAAAGTATTAAAGATGATTACCCGTATATTGAAATAGCGAGTTTAAGAGGAAGACGACCAAAAAAGAGATGAAGAAATTTTAATGAATGGGATATGAAAACGGTTGATGTGTTCGTAGATGATGTGTGAGATCGTGTCAAGTGAAACTAAACGCTAAATTGTACATTCCCAAACAACAATCATATTATGTCAATTGCCACCGGTATTTCTGGTAATTTTTTTTATTTTTCTTTGCCTTAATCCCAACTACTTGGGATCGGCCACCCTTATCCTAAGCTCCCACTTGACACGATCTCCCACATCTTCTACGCTCACATCAGCTGTCCTCAAATCGCATTCAATAGCTTTCCTCAATCTCCTTTTTGGTCTTCCTCTACCTCTTCTTGCTTCAAAATTCATTTCTATAACTGTTCTTACAGCTTTCTATTCTTCTCTCCTCATAACATGACCAAAGCATCTAAGTCTATTTTCTCTCATCTTATTCAGAATTGACGCTACACCTATACTTCCTCTTATATGCTCGTTCCTTATCCTATCTTCTCTAGTCACTCCACTCATTCATCTAAGCATTCTCATCTCTGCTACACTCATTCTCTGCTCTACTTTCTTATCAACCGCCCAACACTTTAAACCATACATCATAGCTGGCCTCACTACAGTATTATAGAATTTACTTTTTAGCTCATTGAAGTTATTTTATCGCATAAGACACCTGACGCTTCTCTCCAATTCAACCACCCGCACTTAATCCTGTGTCTTACATTCTCGTCTATACCTCCGCTCTTTTGCACAACTGATCCTAAATACTTAAAACTTTCCACCTCCCCATAAACGTTCTCGCCTATTGTCACACCTAATCTCCTCATTTCACCTACCTCATGTTCTCTTTTGTCAACCCAGCCGGAATTCCTGGTAATGATAAAATTATTTGTCATAAAGTGTATAAAATTGGTCTTGTTCTAGTAAACTCAATGGTGGATAATAACTTTCATGATATAAATCTTAAAAGGCCAAATAAAGTTATAGCTCTATCTTCAATAACTTCTATTGTTAAAATTAATAATGAAATAATTAAAGTAAACCCATTGCTTCTATTTCAACAAATCGCTATTTAAAAAATAAACCAGCAGTGTCCCGGCACAGTGTGTATAATTGGATGCAGTATTGATGATATGTGACAGTGATTAAAATCATTATCATAAAAAACACCTTGGTGCAAATCTGTAGATAGTATTTAATTTTAAAATTTCAATGGATTATTACAAAAGCTACATGATCTCCTATTTCCTTATTTATATCCTAAATACAAGTTATATGCATTCCTAGTACAAAGTATGTAATCGATAGAGGATATCTCCTCTATAAAGTTATTTGACAAATGTATCAAACAAAATTTTTTTCTATTTTCTCATTCATTTTCACATTCTAAATTTTGATAGAATATATATTCAACAAAAGTACAATCTTTTTAATCTTCAATCTTTATTCTATTGAATTTGTACGCAATCGACCTTTGCAATGTTCACATATAATAGAACATTTAAGTCCTGTTTTTCGGCAGCACAATTTTTACCAGCTCCAACACCTGACTAAAGGCCAATACGCTTTATGACAATTATTTTTATCATTACCAGAAATTCCGGTGGCAATGGACATAATATAATTGTTGTTTGGGAATATACAATTTAACGTTTGGTTGGGTTTAAACAATATAGTGTCAAATCAATTACCTAATCTATCGGTTGTATCTTAATATACACTACACTTTAATGATACTATAAATAAATAACTTCACACATACACACATATGCATTTATAATATTGTGTCTAATTTAAGTATAACATGATAAAAAGTAACCGTAAAATGAAAAAAATGGAAAATAAATTTTAGTACTCATATTAATTGTAATGTAACTCGAAAAATATTTGTTTAAATGAAAAAATAACAGATACCTTTTTTGTTTAAAATTGTCTTTTAAACAACTTTTGTACAAATTTTTTTTTTGTAAGTTAAATATTTTTTGAGAAAATTAAAAAAACTCATATTTTTGAACTTTTGCAATGCTGTAAAAAAAAAGCTCAATTCCAATCAATGAGGACTTTTAGTATGTCATTATCATATCTTAATTCAACTTTAAAAAAAAAAAAATTTGGTTGGAAATTTTTTCCGCTATTTTTCCTTTGTTGACTATCTTAATAAGTTAGTAACTATTATTATCATAACTATGTTGGAATATATACAGTGTGATTTATTAAATATAACTTCCCCATTTTTTCATTGAATAATGATTTTTATGAAATATGTAGATTCAAAGTTTTATTTATTTTTATAAATCTTTGTGAATATCAAGTAAGAAACAATTATTCCTAACGATAGATTTTAGGGATAGCTTTCAAAAGTCAAATGAGATACTATTATTTTTTTACTATTGAATGGAGAATAGATTCTGACTGGTCGATAACCAGTTTTGTAAAATAACGTATTTAGAAATATTGTAGGGGTGGTTCCAAATAACTTTTAGATAAAGAGTAGTGGAAAGATTCACTGCTCCACTGATGACGAACTAATTTTATTTTATAAATTACTTAAAAATCAAAGATCACTTTAAGAACACTTATATTCATTTCAAGAAAAGGAGTAAGATTAGAATATTTTTTTTTCTACTTCATTATTTTAAATTTTTAAACATTCCATCACCCTGATTCCTTTTTTGAAAATATGCCATTGAAAAAATATGTAAATTTTAAATTTTAATTGTGTCCTTAAACAAATTTATATTTTTAAAATTCAAAAAATATTCTTAATAATATAATAGCCTATAACTAAAAAATTATATATCTATTATTACACGATTTTTTATATAGAATAATCCCAAAATCACATTTTGTGAGTTAGTTTTTGAATATAATCCACACAAATGTAGTCATACATCGTATGAATACCTCAAAAATAAGTAATAACTATTTTAAAAGCTGTCGCGGTCGCATCGCGACTCCAGCTTTACCACTGGATGGCGATCGCGGTGCTTCCCCTTTACGTCCGGCAGGTCGCGCCATATGGAGTGCCGACGGGTGGCGTGAACCGGTCCAGACCGCCGGCCACTAACAACAATCATTAACACATTTGACTATCGTATCTTCCTACTGTGTACTGATATTGTTTTTATACTCTTTTGTGTAACAATTGAAAATATATGCTAACATAAAGTTAAACACGGTGTTATTATTTATTATTATTATTAAAATATCAACCTTAACACCTCAACATTGGCGCAGTCGAATAAGGAATTGTTTTTGCAGACTAATAAGTAATTAAGGTAAGTGCTAAATAATTAAAGCAATTATTATTTGTAGCACCCTTAATAAAATATTTGCAAAATAGAGAACCTACAGCTTTAACTGGCTAAAAGCGTAGTAAGTCCCAGAAAAAGAAATTTTTAAGACTTAATTAGTCATAAGCTTATTACTTTTTGGGGTTAAGGTGTATATAAGCTATATAGTTAGAGATAGACTTATTATACAGGAGAATTTCCTAACGTGGTTTGTGCTAAAAATATCTTATAGACAAGTCCACTTCCCGATCACGTGATCAGCGCATTAGCTTATCCCCATTGACCTACTTATCTGATATTATTAGAATATCAACACTCAATATGTCAGGTAAGAGCATACTTGAGCTGACGATAAGAGAGTTGCAAGGGGAGCTGTCACGACGGGGTCTCGCAACTGGGGGCTCTAAATCCGACCTTATGGTTCGGCTGGAAGACTATCTAAGCCAGGAGGAGGGGTTAACGCGTCGAGCGTCAAATTTCACTCCGAGAAACCGAGTAATCCTCCGCCCCAAGATGACGATATCCCTAACGGGAGGCCCGGGCAACCGGAAGATGACGATCGCCGTTCCGAAGACGACCGAGACAGCTGGTCACTGTCATATGACACGTATATGATGTTATGCGGGTACGTCTAGGATAATGCGAAGCGGAACGAGGAACTGGAAGCAATAGTTGCCCAACAGCGCGAACACATTGCTCAGCTTGAGACAAAGTTGGACGACTTGATAAAGCAAGTCAACTTGTCTGCTTGCGAAGTACAGGGGGTACCTTGCAGTACCAATAGGGGAACTCTGCCGCCATACCTCACGCTTAGGCGAGTTACAGCGGACAGACCCGAAAATTCACAACTCCGATCGGAAGGGGGTTAACAGATGGCTATCCCGGAAAATTCCGACCGAGCAGTTAGAAAGGACCCCCCATCCCCCCACCGGAACTTCGGACTGCAAATCAGTTCTTCGGTGACTTACGGGATACTTCGGCGGAACAATACGGTAGAAAACAGTTCTCCGGCGAAAAAATAAATTTGCCCCGTGTAAACGGCTGGTACCCCGGGTTACACCGACCGGGACCCCCCTACGCTGGTGTAAATTCTGTTTTCTCCGGTGGATTAAACCGGATTACGGGGGAACAGCATCGGAACAAACAGTTCTCCGGTGAAAGTTTTTACTTTTGTGGTGCAAACCAGAGTTCTGCCGTTGAAAGTAACTGGACGACCGAGGACCATCACCAGAACATACAGTTCTCCGAGTTTCTTCGGTCAGAAACACCACACTTTTGTTTCAAACCAAGGAATGACCGGTATTAACGGAGTAGAACGATCCAAAAGTCGTTCCCGTTCGGACAATAGGACCCGGGAGCAACGACACGTTACTTTTAACGAAACGTCGTTACTGTTCCACGACAGTCTAACGTTGGCGCGTGATTCTCTACCGGAGTTTTCCGGAAAGAAACAAGAGGACCCCAACGCTTTCATTGAAGAGGCTGAATTGGTCCTAATCGAAGCGAACGTACCACACCAGAAGTGGGTACGTGTCCTTTCCCCACAGTTAAAAGCAGAGGCAGGTAACTGGTGGGGTATCATACGCTGCTTGAACCCCACATGGACAGTGTTCCGGCAACAATTTTTGAGGAGGTTCAATAGCATTGCTATACTTACCCAAGTACGCAATGATCTCCACAGTGCTCACCAAGGCGAACGACAATCCCTAGAGGAGTTTGTAATGTGGAAGAGCCATCTAGCCCGTCGTCTCGACTCAAGGCTCACAGAGTACGAGTTGGTCGACCTAATCATAGGGCTTATGCGCAGTGACTACCGGGTCCACGCAAGAGTGAGACGCCCGAGGTCAATGGAAGATCTGCTAGAGCTGGCTAGCGACTTGGACGTAGAGGACCTTTCTCCGGAACGGCGTCCCGAAGAAAAGAAGTATTCCGCAGAAGGGAATAGCTTCAAATGGGCAAATAAGAAACCGCCACCGGAGAAAGAGGTTATTAGACCGGAAAAAAGCCCGTCCGGAGCGGCACGTTGTAAAAACTGCAACCGGACTGGGCACTGGTGGGCGAATTGCCCAGAAAGAAAAACGGCGAATACGGGAAACGGAAAGAGTTCCGGACGGTTCACGGGAAACCGACCGGACAAGAAGAACTAGCCCGCCCAAAGTACCGCAAACGCAACCACGGTACCGAAGCTTCCGACCAGGAACCCAAAAAGGTACCGGGGAATCGTAAAAATATGCAGCTCGCCGCTATCGAATCCGGAGAAATGGAGTACACACGGAAGAAACGTACAGTAAAAATAGAAGTTTCGGAAACACAGGAGAGTAGTGCAAAACGTCCTGACCAAGGAAAACAAGCGGCTCTCTCCGAGAACAGTTTGCCGAACAAATCTCTGGAAGACCTGGAACAAGACCAGTTAACACATGAGTTGTTAACGGTTCCACAGTCGTTCCCGTTAAAACTTCCGAAGGAGTTGATTCCTCTCACTGGTATCACGTGGAACTGAAGGAAATCTGATACGGACTCACTTTATGACCTCAGGGTCCAAGCCGCAGATTTATTTACCGGAGAAAACTTTCCTAGCAAACGGGGTTATTGTTCAGCGTCCGACCAGGACCCAAAATACAATAAGATACCCGAGAAAAAGCTGGTGAAAGAAATCTCACAAGGTAATATTACCTCTTTTAGCCCAGCCAAGAACGGTAAAAGAGCAAAAACTTACCCGGAGAATATAGCTATTTCCGACATTAGAACCTGGCAAACCGAAGATGCAACTTTAGCCCAGTATGTCCGGAAACTCCGGAGTGACAAACCAATTTACCGGCGTTTACACCAGGAATACCTCTTGCAAGATGGTATTTTGCTAAAAGGCCCGGTAAATAACGGAACGGACGGAAAGATTATCGTCGTTCCGTCGGACATGTCAGATCACCTGCTATGGAGGTATCATGATCATGTTTCTGCCGGACATCCAGGNTGATCATGTTTCAGCCGGACATTCAGGATGGAAAGAAACTTACCGGAGCATTGGTAATCGTTTCTTCTGGACCGGTATGAGAGTCGGTACGTCAATATGTCGCAAGGTGTCACGTTTGTGCTTGCGTTAAACCGTTGAACCGGAAGCAAGACGATCCAATGCGACCAAGACAGCCCCGCCAGCCATGGGAGGTTGTTAGTATTGATCTTATGGGACCATACCCAAGATCTCAACGCGGTAAGACTTGCCTACTTGTAGCAACAGACTGCTACAGTAGATGAGTAGAAGCATACCCCCTAGGGCAAGCCACCGCTTAGACGATTACCGACACTCTAGAAAGAGAGTTCTTCTCACGTTTCGGCTATGCTAGAGTACTTTTCTCAGACAATGGAACACAGTTCGTCTCCTAAACAATGGAGAAAGCACTGGAGAAGTGGGGCACAGAAGGATGGACAACGCCAATTTACCATCCAAGAGCAAACCCGGTAGAACGCCGAAACCAGGATTTGAAAAAAGGTTTTCGGACAGCTTTGGTTGACAAACCACATAGCCACTGGGACAGCTGTATTCCAAATATACTTTTTTTAATAAGAAATCGTCGGAACAGGCTAACAGGGAGCACTCCCTCTGAGCGGGCCTTTGGGCGAGAAGCCAAAGCCCCCGGCGATTGGCTGCTGGACATTATTTCTACGGGTAAAAACCCGAAACAAATAGAAATCCCCGGACTGAAAAATATTGTTACCGTAAAGACTCCAAGTGGCGTCGGGAATGAGTCCCGTTCTGGCGAAGGTGTGGAACGCTTTGTTGGTAGCGTTCAACCAGTTGTCTTTCTTGGGGACGACCGAGTGGACCCGCAGCAAGCGGATGTGGAGTTCCGGTTCTCGGAGGGAATGGAGACCGAGGATGCTGTTTTGGACGCCCCGACCATCGAGGTTCCCGACTTCCCGGAGTTGGAGGACGGGCCATCGGACCAGCTGTCCTAGGCGCTCATGGGCCGACCGGCCTGACTGGGGGGGGAGTATGTCGCGGTCGTATCGCGACTCCAGCTTTACCACTGGATGGCGATCGCGGCGCTTCCCCTTTACGTCCGGCAGGTTGCGCCATATGGAGTGACCGACGGGCAACGTGAACCAGTCCAGGCCGCCGGCCACTAACAACAATCATTAACACATTTGACTATCGTATCTTCCTACTGTGTACTGATATTGTTTTTATACTCTTTTGTTTAACAATTGAAAATATATGCTAACATAAAGTTAAACAATAACAAAGTGTTATTATTTATTATTATTATTAAAATATCAACCTTAACACCTCAACAAAGTTATGATTTTCAGTTTACACTTATATTTGTTTAATTTTAGACTTTACTTCATTATTTTTTACTGCATTAAATACTGTAATATTTTTACATTAGATGGACATATTGATATTGGCGCACAATGGATCCACGGAGAAGAAGGCAATGTAGTATATCAAATGGCTTCAGAAAAACATTTAGTATCGGATTTTAGAGATACAATGGAGGATTTTATGAACTCTGTATTTGTTACATCGACAGGTCAAATTATTCCAATTGATCTTTCTAGCGATTTCATCAAATCGTCTTATTCTATTCTTGATGAGAGTCCTGAAGATGATTTAGAACGATTTATGTCTATTGGAGAACTTTTTCAAAAGAGGTGTGTCTTAAGAATTATATATTGTTTAAGTCGGTAGTATCGTGACATAGACATAAAAAGATACACAAATTAATTAGTACTTTGAACGTATTAGCTCAAAAGTAGCAGACTGACGGGTGGTTCCTCGTTAGCCACCAGCACAACTACCTCTTTACTATACCTATTAATAGACGGTTAAGCCCAAAAATTAGCTAGCATGCACATTAATTGTTAAGGTCGACTAAGGGACCAACAGTCCAACCTTGACTCTAGCAGTACACACAAACAACACGGTGTATATAAAATATTACACCAAGTGCTGGTTTCGAACAGTTATCTTTTATTTACAGAACGTAAGAAACACAAAATCAAAATATAATACAATTATATAACACAATAAAGAACGGCGTGGCCGAGTCGGTAACGCGGCAGTGTTTGACGCGCACTGCCCGGGTTCGAAACTCATTAACGGGCAGCTTTATTTGCCGAACGACAGATTGGTTTGGTAATTGAAGTCGCCATCCCTCTCTCCGGCGCCGGACAAAACCATCCATCCCGTAGTATAAATGGTTAAGAAACCTCCTTCTTTGGGGTAGGCCGCTATGGTCTTCAATGGGCTAATAAAGCGATAAAAAAAAAAGTAATAATATTAATTAATTCCTTTCGAAGTACAAAGTCACGCGCTAAAACGTTCTAACTCGCCACAAGACGTTTCTATTAAAAACGTACATCTCCCTATTACTTTTCTCATTTCTCTTGTTTCCATCATAGTTAACTTGTTTACCCTGCCTTTTCCTATTATATGATATTATTATTCTACTTAAGAATTTAAAATTGCTCATAACAATGTTATATTAAACTAATACGACAGTTTGTTCGATACCTTTTCAGCTATTCACTACAATATTAGAAAATTCTAAAACTTTCTAAATCTATTAGTTTTTAGTGACACCGGTTTTCCCCTGCAAATAGTTGTTAAGCGAATGAACACAGTAAAATTAAAATTTAAGTCCCGTCCCCGTCAATAGTAACAATATTTTTACATTACAATATTACATATTTTCATTTAATTGCTTGATTAATTATTATGATGATCAAGCAATTAAATTAATTTAGCAGGCTTATATGAAATTAAAATTCAGTTTATTAAACATTTTAGATAGGGCAATTTTAATTTTAGATATGTTAGGTCGGTTAATAGTCAAAATTGAGTATTAAGTTCATAAATCATAAGTTTTCAAAACAAAAAAATACTTAAGAAAATTTTTTTAAACCGGTCCCATTTAAAACTAACATAATACTGTAAATTAAAGGTTATTGTGTTGTAGATATCTGTATAAAAAAACTTAATAAAACTTATTCTCTATTCTTGGACGAAAATAATCGATTTACAATATGTTAAAATTTTAATTATTTATTCCCAACAATTTCAATTATTTTCAATGTTTAATCTCAACTAAGTACCAACTGCATACATATTACTAGGTACTATTAGTTAGTTTTTTAATCTACTAAAATATTACTGACTGTTTAACGCGTATTTCACAAAAAACACAAAACGTGGGTGAAGTTTAAATATTGAGCATAATGATTACAACACAATATTTAGAAATTACAACTTTCAGTGTATAAAATATTAATATTTTTTTTAATGCAATAAAATGGTCTAAACAAATATCTTGGACTAGCTTTAAAAAATAAATAAATAGACTAAATATTATAAAATAAATTGAAATTTTAATCCTTTATTTATAAACAGAGCAAAGAAAACAGTTTATAAAATAATAAAATATATGCTAGTTTGATTAAAGATAAAACAATTATTTATAGCAAAAATTAATATCAATACGATATTAATTTATATATTACAGGAGACCAAACGTTTATTTATATTATATTTTAGAATTGAAATTAAAAGATAATAATAATAGTAAAATTGTCTACCATGAAATATTAAATTTGTTGTTTATTTTTTTGTGAGAATTAGTTATCTTATTTAAACTTCTTTTAAACTATAATTTAATTAATCTAAATTACTATGTATTATTAGCTTATAATAAAATGTAAAAAAAAATAATTTCAAATTTCCATCAGTTATAACAACAATTTGTGCTGAAAAAGAACAAAACAGAAAGACAACAACATTATAGCAAAAGCGGTACTTTAATAATGCGTAACAAATATTAATTAAACCGATGATATAATGAACAGCATATATTTTATCAATACAATTTACTTACAATACTAATAGGCGATAAATAATAAATAGAAAAATAACCAAACCGAACGGTCTATTAATAGCAATAATTCTTTCCTCCTAAGTATTAATATGTTAATAGTTTACCAAGTACTAGTTCAAAAATTGTTATCGATCAGTCATTTACTTAATTAAATAGTTGTCTATTTTATAAATTATTTAAAAATTTTAATTAGTAATATTATATGTGGTTGTGAGCGGATCTAAAACATGTTTTGGTTACGATGATTGTTTTTAAATTTTCGGGACTTCAATGACAGCTCTGCTATGCCTTAATTATATATGTATAATTTTCATTAAAATTCTAGAAGTTCTTTCATAGAGAATTTATTGAAATTTTTTTATTTATTATTGTCATAATAATTTTAGAAAAAGTTCTATTTTGGAAAATTTTATATAAAATTTAATAGATGCAAGTTATTAGTAAATGAACCGAAACCAAACTCAACCGCGAGCGGTTATTCCTTTCGGATATATCCAAAGAGATCAACCGTATTTAACGCTAAGCACTAAATTTTACCATCATAAATATTTTTTAACTTATAAATATAAATATACATTTTTTAATTTTTTTTACATTTCAGATTAGAAAAAATGACCATTAAGAATAAAGAATTACCAATTAAACAGATGGTAAATTGGTGTCACCATTATCAAAATTCATACAATGGTAGCGATAGTTTGTATGAAGCCTCATCTATCAATATAGATACATTCAAACATTGTCCTGGATATCCTGCCATTAGTTGGAAATCAAAAGGTTATTCAACTATAATTGATCTGTTATTGGTATGAATATTTCAGAATTTTGAATTAATCAAAGATAAAATTATAATATTGCTAGATATTTAAACTTGAACCTTTTTATACTAAAGTTATGAAACTTTTCAAGATAATTATAAATGAAGATTTTAATAATATCAAAGAAATTGAGGTTTATGTATTCTTTGATTTACCAATTCGTTCAGAACAATTTAAAACATTGGGCAAAAAACAAATATGGGCTCTAATTAAAGTTTAATAAATACTAAAAAAAAAATTTTATGTTCATCCTGAAAATTCAAATATTGAAAGAGTCAATCGTGTATAAAATTGAATTATTTAATTATAATTTCTAAAATATGAAAATTGTAAAACCTTAACAAAAATCTTAATTATACTAGTTTTAAATAAATGTAAGAATGATACATATTTTTTAATATTTCAACTTCTTTGTAGCTGCATCTTTTCTCGGCAGTTGTCTTTAGTTCTCGTCTCTGTTTCGTCTTCTCTTAGTGACGATATTAGAACAATATTAAAATAAGATATTATATAATATTAATTAACATATAACACATGTGTGTGGTATATGAATCTTTATTAAACTATGATGTACAGGTTAGTTGCGACAACGCAGTTAGATAACACAACATCTCCTTCCTTAAGATTATAATAATACAAAGAGTAACAGACATCATTAAAACATAGCATATACAAATACAAATTATATATATAAAATAATAAAATACATTTCATATTACAAATTCTATAACAATTTTATAGATTACAATAACATAATTTTAAGTAGTTCTCTTAATAAACTTTTTCAAATGAAATGAATTTCTCCTATATACTACACCATTAATGTTTACTAGAAATGATCTTGGAGTTTTTAACAACCCTACAATTACTCCCCTTACCCAGTCAGATCTTTTTATATCTCTAACCAGCACTTTTTCTCCTATTTTAAATTCTTTCCTTATCTTTGTTCTTTCATCATAATACTCCTTTTCTTTAATTTTTTTTAATCTTTAATTCAAATTTTGCATTTATTACCTTTGGTTTTAGTAATACTTCTTTTACAGGGAGTTTTGTATTTAGTATTCTAGACATTAAAAATTGTGACGGCGAGTACTTACAACCTGACACCGGTGTGTTTCTATAATGAAGTAGAAATAATTGTAAATCTTTTTTTTCCAACCCCTGATTTTTTTTATTAATTTTTTGGCAATTCCTACAAATTTTTCAGCTAAACCATTACTACGGGGATAATAAGGACTAGATGTTGTTATTTTAAATTTATACTCCTGACTAAACAATCTAAACTCATAACTATCAAACGGCATATTATCTGCTATTACTTCTGATGGTATACCAAATCTTGAAAAAATATCTTTACAACATTTTATTAATGTTGAACTATTAGCACTTTTAATGGGTATTATTTCCAACCATTTAGAATAATAGTCCACAAGAATAAAATATTTTTTGACAATATTAAAATAAAATATTATATAATATTAATTAACATATAACACATGTGTGTGGTATATGAGTCTTTATTAAACTATGATGTACAGGTTAGTTGCGACAACGCAGTTAGATAACACAACAGTCTCTTCATTGCGAAATTCGCCAAACTTGGAAAATAAAAATTTATCTACCATTGCATAACTACCAAAAGTGTTAGTGGATGACTCAGTTAAATGTATACTTAAAAAGTTAGTTGTCCTATACCGAATTTTTTTCAAAAATTTGTAAGGTTAATAATTATAGTAACCGAAAGTATAATGAAATCACTTTTAAAACCTTTGAAAGTAAAATTTTAAGTTCAGTTAAGATATCAAAGACGGTCTCATAATACTTTTGGTTTATGTTAACGTTTTTCATCACATACTTACGATATATTACCCATATTCGATATGGGTGAACAAATTTACTAGGTATAAGAAATATTGTCAAAACCTAAATTATTTCGGTTCCTAGCCTTGGCTTTAGCACCCTCAGGCTATTGTACCTTCTATGAATTTTAAAACCTAATGTTTCAACTACTTATCTTTATTTATAAAAATTTATTGTCAGTTTTTTTAGCTTCGATGCGAAGCTGAGAAGGTATTAATTTTACTATGATGTGTTTTTTTTTTTATTTTTATTTTTTGTGTGTCTGTGAATGCTCAATCTCAGCTCTCGCTGGACCGATTTTGATGAACAATATGTCAAAAGATCACAAATCGTATCTAGTCGAAGACATTACCCTCAAAAATTGAAAAAAATTCCCTCGTTCCCCGTAAACGGGGGAAATCCCCCAAAAAATTACAAATTTAAAAATCGCTAATTTTCGATATTTTTTCAATTTTTTTTACTTAAAATTGCNTTACAAATTTAAAAATCGCTAATTTTCGACATTTCTTCAATTTTTTTTACTAAAAACTGCCGTAACTTTTTCAAAAATGAACATATTAATATAATTTTTTTTTTTTAATACCTTAGATATTTACCTATCATTTTAAATATTTTTGTGATAATTTGACCCTTTAACAGACCACAGGAAGGGTTTCAATATGATAACTTTTTTACAAAAAATTAACTTTTTCAACTTAACTTTTAAAAATGTTCCGGAAAGACTGACACTTTTATATATATTTTAAATTAAAGCTAATGTAATACAGGGTGATTTTTTTATCATAACCCACTCAATTACTTACAGAATAATAATAATTTAAACATTTTTTTTTTTATTATCTTTAGTTACACATTATTCTTGAATTATTAACTATGTAATACCTTTTAAGTTCATCCCTTATGCCTGGTAAGGGTGTCAACTTTGTTTTTTTAAATGGTAACACATATTTTGAATTTAATAAAATGTTTGAGTTTTTAATTCAATAACAAATGTCATTTGAATTTTTAATATAACTTTATTCGTTTATTAGATATAAACATTTAAAGTTTCAATTTTTTGAGTTAATATACATGTATAATACACTAGGGATTAAAATTACAGGTAGCTAATTGGTTTTTTATGACATCGATATTAGCAGGTACAAAGCATTGTTATTATCAATGGTAGTAAGACACATTGTTGTGAGTTTATAAATACACTAACTGACAATACAGAATGTATATCTATTGATAGTCATAATTGATAATAAACAATCCGTGACTATCACAGTCACGGATTGTTTATTATTGTTTATTGTAGCTAATTGATTTTAATCCCTAGTGTATTATACATGTATATTAACTCAAAAAATTAAAACTATAAATGTTTATATCTAATAAACGAATAAAGTTATATTAAAAATTCAAATGCCATTTACTATTGAATTGAAAACTCAAACATTTTATTAAATTCAAAATATGTGTTACCATTTAAAAAAACAAAGTTGACACCCTTACCAGGCATAAGGGATGAACTTAAAAAGTATTACATAGTTAATAATTCAAGAATAATGTGTAACTAAAGATANGGATGGGGTTTCAAAATGGTAACTTTTTTACAAAAAATTAACTTTTTCAACTTAACTTTTGAAAATGTTCCGGAAAGACTGACAATTTTATATATACCTTAAATTAAAGCTAATGTAATATACTTTAATTTGGAAAAAAAAAATTTGACCTCTGGACTTGTCTTCATGGTGAAAATGACTACCGTATGCAAAAATATGCTATTTTTTTGAAAAAAATTCTTGATATTATATTTTACATTTTTTAACATTATGATGCTATAACTTTTTAAAAAATGCATGAATCAATTCTATTCTTTAACAATAAATACTTTATATATACCTCTTTCATTCGACATACTTTTTTTTTAAATCGGACCTTTTCCCTTTATACAAGAGGGGTGTAAACCTTTTAAAATGCGTATAGAAAGTAGAACTTTTTCAACTTAACTTTTGAAAGTATTCCGGAAATACTGACACTTTTATATATATCTTAAATTAAAGCTTATGTAATATACTTTAATTTGAAAAAAAAAAATTTGACCTCTGGACTTGTCTTCATGGTGAAAATGACTACCGTATGCAAAAATATGCTATTTTTGTGAAAAAATTCTTGATATTATATTTTACATTTTTTAACATTATGTTGCTATAACTTTTTAAAAAATGCATGAATCAACTTTATTCTTTAATGATAAATACTTTATATATACTTCTTTCATTCGACATACTTTTTTTTAAAATCGGACCATTTCCCTTTATACAGGGGGGGTGCAAACCTTTTAAAATGCGTATAGAAAGTAGAACTTTTTCAACTTAACTTTTGAAAATGTTCCGGAAAGACTGACACTTTTATATATATCTTAAATTAAAGCTTATGTAATATACTTTAATTTGAAAAAAAAAAATTTGACCTCTGGACTTGTCTTCGTGGTGAAAACGGACATCAAAGTTAAAGAAAAACGTACGATTTCCGTGAAAAAAATCTCGATTTTATATGTTATATTATTTAATTTATATTTTATATAACTTTTGGAAAAATGTATGGATCAATATTATTATTTTTTTATAATAAATATTGATATACCCCTTTCATCTGGCACGCTTTTTTTGTAAATCGGATCATACCCCTTTAACAAGGGGGGTCAAAACTTTAAACATGCGTATTGTTACTACGATATTTTCAATTTAATTTTTGAAAGTATTCCGGAAATACTGACACTTTTAAATATATCTTAAATTAAAGCTTATGTAATATACTTTAATGTGAAAAAAAAAAATTTGACCTCTGGATTTGTCTTCATGGTAAAAATGACTACCGTATTCAATAATTTGCTATTTTTGTGTTAAAATTCTGGGTTTGTATTTTATATTATTTTAAAATACCTGACAAGGAGAGTACAGATTTTCATAAATATTATATAAATAAAATATTAATATGTATAGATAGTTAAACTTATTTAAATATGTTTGTTTCTTTTAAGTCGAGAAAAATAACTTTGAAATTTGAACTAGCTTAAATAGCNAAAAATAAATTTGAAATTTGAACTAGCTTAAATGGCCAATTTTTTCAGCTGACGGTAT